CAAGCGTGGATTTGGACGAAGATGTACAATGGGTTCAATGCGAACAATGCCAAGGATGGACACACTACCAGTGCGCTGGATATCGTGGAGAGGAGAGGTACATATGCGTGTATTGCATATGTGCCTAATAAAGAACGAAAAACGGCCCTAATGGGGCCACCACATCCTGATTTCATTGCGAAACGATTCTTCCGTTATTTATCCTTTACCGCTTGGGTTGGGTTGTTTGTCGTATGGGTCTTCTTCCATGCGAACACACATATGGGAAGGTGGTACAAAGTTCAGAATAATAATAACGGGACGTCGGAATAATTGATGTCGATAGACTTCATGGAGTAAGCATATTACCGTAGTACAGGTCGATGTAGACAATTTGCCGATATTAGTAGAAATATTCAGAAGATGTAAATGTACACGATGAATATCAAGTGAGATATATATATCACATCTCAATAGATAAAAAGATTTAGATTTCATACATGCATATACCATGTTTGTAATATTAAACGTACGATACATGAAAAAATTGTCTTGTACAGCATATATTTCTTATTACTTGGATAGTAAGCGGTGTTTTCCGTTATGTGTCAGTCATAATTTTCGGTTTTAAATATAGGTAGGTGTTACAGTGATCGTCGTTATAGACACAAAAGTAAATTTTTTGCATGGATTCATTTATTATCCACTAATTGATTTGCACATTTGATAATTTTTAGAGCGGATTGTCATTATTTACTTTCGGTTATTGCGTAAATCCTGAAACCCCTATAAGTTTACAATTAAAATATGGCTACCAATTTTTTTTATTTACCCCGACAGTAACAGACCTTGTTCTAAAGGTTATGCAACGGTGACCGACGTGCAATTTGGGTGCATCATGGGATTCATGGAAATTTATATGCATATAATATTATTATATTATACATGTTAGACATCTATATATATGTTCAATTAGTATTGCTGTTTACATTTATATATGGAACGTTTATTTACGAAAAATTATTATACACATATCTTTTCATAAATAGGTTGTAGGCTACTTTAAAACTGTTCGAATGAAAAACGTTCCCTATAACTTAACTTAACTTAATTAATTCCTTGCCGCGACTTTCCATACTTTATTTTACTGCTGCTTACATTTTTCACATCATACCATTCCATTTTTTGAACACCATTTACAGTATTCTTATTCAACAACAGTTTCAATGCATTGTTCCTGTACATTGTCACTTGCATAAACATGGAAACTGTTTTCATTAGCTAATGAGCAGTAAAAGAGCGTTTCCATTTACTTTTTTACTATAATATCCATATTTTGAAAGAATTAGTGTTTTCCTAAAGGTAAGGAACTTAAAAATAATGTGTCAAATAAATC